GGTGAGTGTAGGGATTTATTTCTCAGACATGGCATGAGAATTCAGTATGCTAAATCTAAACGAAGTGTGGCTATCGCTGAGCAAGATCACCAAGAATTTGAAAAGCATACCTTTTTTCGCCAAGATGCTATAGACTTACATTTACTATTGACTGATAGATCTAGGGAGTGAGTTGTTAACCTTCACATTAATAATGATAAATATAATGATTCCTCTACGAAGTTAATACACATATCACCCAATGAAGCTGTAAAAAAATCATTAGAAGGTGAGAAAATCTTTGCAGATCCAGCTGTCAAGTACAAAAGGCCCATAGGTTATAATAAACCCCTCCTATCATCTGATATTAAAGTTCGGCATCTATTAGAACCTGGTGAACTAGAAGGCTGGAGAAGGAGGGCTACTAATTGTAACTGGTCTCCTGAAATTTTTTCGATCAAATTATTTTCAAGAAAAAATAACCAGCCAGTTCTCTACAAGCTATGTAACAGTCTAAGACGCCCATTCATGAGAGAAGAACTTCAAATTGTAAAGGATGTGTATTTACCTCCTAGGTGGGTATTGGGAGAAAACCGAATGCATTCAAGGCACTCTTGATGAAAGTTGGCAGATCAACAACATAATAGAGAATTATGATAAGAATTATACCTTTCTTTAAACAGAGTGCTCTCTTCTCCCAATCACGTTGAATTCGTGCATCTAAATTAATTTGTCCTTGTGGATGGAAAAAAGGAACGATTTGATAATGCTGATTGCTACTGTATTCGAAGGCCAAATATAATTCCTCATTATATCCATCAAGTTGTAAGCCTTCTAAAAATTTAGGTTTTCGAGGTGGGAATTTTTTATGTAATAATTCTTCGAATATATATCGACATGATCTTTCAAATATATAAGGACAACTATTGCACCACCTATAATTTCGTTTCATATCTCTATAGGATGCTTCCCATCGATGCTGATTTTTATAAACCCATAAATAAATATTAGGGTTTGATCTAACTTTAGCCAAGCATTGTCCTTCACATCTTTTTGCATAGATAAGGGCTTTAGTATCAATCTCATTATAATCTTGCATTTTTATAATATGATCGAAGTCATATGATTTTTTAGATTTTTTTCTAATACATTTAATGTAAGAAAGCAGAATATAAAAACTATATAATAAAAATATCACAAAGCACACATATACTCATTGATTAAATCGAATTCCTAGATGAAACCTAGTCTCGAGGCTTTGCCTCTTCTAATAGGAGGGATAGGAGCGATGAGACCTAGTCTCGAGGCCCTGCCTCTTTCTGTCATAGCAAGTAGTTTGATGTTACCGCTATCAGTATATATTTTTCTTACCTTACTAATTATTGCAGTTATGTGGTTCATGAGACATACATGGAATATAGGTGGCTCGAAGAGCTATTGCTCCACAGGCTGAAAGAGCGACTCTAAAGGGTTATAAAAAAAGTGATCAATTGCGGGATATGTGGATTGGGTGAACATCTATTTAAACTTGGATATTATTTATGTACGAAAAAATATTATTAATATTGTATAAATATCTTAGTAGATTGTGGTGATCTTAGCTAAGAATACTTAACAATATAGGTCAATGATATCATCAATGTCTGATGGGTCATCTTTTTTACTGCCATATGTGATTGATAATGCTTGAAGCCGGGTAATTTCAAGGCCAACCACCTTATACCATGTATTCCGGAAATCTATTAATTCTCGACACTCTGATTCCAAATCATATAGAAATATATATTGTTCCAGAATTGTAATTTTGGGTTTGCGTTTTTGCACCTGCATAATTAAATCATATATCGCATTTCTATATCCCATATTAAGCTTAGACAATTTTGAAAGTAGATTTAATAATTTCGAACGAGTGGAGTCTGTAATTTTGTCTAATATATTAAGGTAATTATTATGCTCCGCAGAGACATCTGAAGATCTGGTTATGCTAGCTCCACTAATGCCAGAACATATTTTTTCAGCCTGAGTAGTAGCATTTTTCCATAAATGGGAGATAATAGCTTCATCTTTTTTTGGTGCATCACGTAAGTTTTTAATATAATTTTTGAGCCATTTTTTAGCCGACTTCTGTAACTTTTCATCTTTAATTTTTGCTATTTTATCCTCATCTAGACTTGGAAAGTCATTGCTCTGCAATAAATCCTTAGTAATTTTTAATTTCTTCTTTTTGGATTTCTTTTTTCGATCTATGACTTTTGAGAGGGATTCAGGTGATGGTTGATATTTATCATCATAATTTATAAAACGGGCACAGAAACCAAATAGACTTTCGATATAATAATCAATATTTATTTTCTTGTTAAACTTTTTTACCACATCTGGGTATTCCATACAGTCTCCTTTTTGTTGTGGTATTTTTTTCTGCAGTTATTATAAATCTCTTCAGGTACTACTACAATGTAACTAAATCATTTACCAGGTTTGGGGACTTTATATAGGCATTAGTTAGCGGATAAACCCTTCTTTATAAGCTGTTGATTTTCTAATACTTCATGAGAATACTTAGCCTCCATTTGCGAAACAAACCATTCTACAGAAATATTTTTCCGCTTACCTTCCTTTTTAGGCCTCCATATACATGTCTGAATAAATTCATCATATTCTAACTTGGAAAGTTTTTCCACATTTTTCCAAAGAACTTTTTCAACAATCTGGTGTATTGTCTCCTTATTACCGACTTTCAAAGTTCTATTCATAATTTCCTTACCTACATTATGAAAGAGCTTAGATTGGCCTCTTTTCACAATATCTACCCCTTTAATGAAAAGCTTACCCAGATTGAAATTTGGCTTCTTTTTATGCTCAAGACCATAGTATTTTTTCTTTCCTGTAAATACCACAGAAAATAAGACCTCCTCATATGCCATATTAAGGTAAGAACTAATTTATTTAACTGAAAGTTTTTATCAATGAATAAGCACGTAACTCCAAGGTATCCCATACGATTACGTTCTATCCAAAGATTACATGTCAAAGAACAAGAGATAATATTATCATTGAGAGTACTTATAAAATTTTCTTTGAAACTTACAAAAGCATCTGTAAGCAATCGTCAGCAAAGTTTTTCACTAGGTAATTGATAGTTAGGATCGAACTCTGCCAGAAACTCAATAAAACTGGTTCTTTCTTGTATGCTAGTAGGCAATTGATCTTTGACTAACATACTGATAAACTTCTGATCCTGGCTTGCTTTTCGTTTAGGATCGCTCGCTGCCATCTTTTGAAACATTTGACTAATATTTGGTTGTGTAGGTTGTTTCTGCTTTTGTTTATGTACTTCTTCTGTCATTGAATGCCGAGATACCAAGTGTCCAATAAAGTTACTTGTCGAAGTGTCTACTGATCCCATCAAATAGCCACATGGTTGAAGCCCATTCTTCCCGTTAACTTTAAACAAACAATGAACTATTCATTTATAAGGTTCTACAGGCTTATACAACTGATAGTAATTCCATACCCAGCTTTTTCCAAGAGCTTTGGTAAGAGATATTAGTTGAATTTCTTTAAGGTTAGGTTTAGATAATTTATTGCTATGAGAACTACTTTTGAATTGTGTACTGCTAGTTACTTGATTACTAACAGGTTCATTAGTACTTTCTTCATTTGTTGCCTGATTACTAACAGGTTCATTAGTGCTTTTATCATTTAGTGTCTTATCATTTTTATTAGGTCTTTTTTTTTTTCCTTCTCACAGTTTTAGATAGACCAGTATGTTTTTTTGGTTGTCTTGTAAAGAATTTGTCACCATCTGAATTTTTTCTAGATTCAGATTCACTATCGCTTAAAGAAATAGAGCCAGACACCTCCTTTTGTCACGTATACTCCATGTTTGATTCCATTGTGCAGGATAAAAGTAGATTTCGCATAATTGATTATAATAGATTATTATACTTATATATTTGCGTATATGATTAAAGATCACAGGATACAATAGTACCTCTTGGCTTATAAAAGAACTTATATATTATATGCTCATATAAGGGTAACTATAAAGGGGCTTGGTTGTATAAAGTAATTTTCAAAAAAAAAAAAACATATATATAAAATTATAAAGTTGCACCTTAGTGCTTAACATTATTAGAAGTTAGAGGTTTGAATTAAGGAGGTAAAAAGCAAGACATTTAAAAATAAAATAAAATAAAAGGAGCAAAAAATGGTAAGATGTGATGAGACGAGGTAAAAAAAAGATAAGAAGCAAGAGAAAAAGAATAACGCATATTTAATATTTGGTTATGTTACAGTATAATGCTCTCCACAACATAATATAAAAGCGAAATCCTGAAAGTCAATATTAATATTTAATAAAAAGAGAATACGTATTGATCCGTCATTAATATATTTTTTATTCAAATGTTACGTTTTTATAAATTTCAATCAAAGCACTGTTAACGGTTTTTCAAATTACTATATTAATTTAATTTGGATATATGAAAACAAAGACATTGGCTTTTATCTGAAGCCATAGGATTTTAGCTAGCCGTAGATAGATATGTATGTATGGTACATACTTGCTAGCTGTTAGATTATCCTTTTAAAAACAAAGGGATAACGGTTATTATCCATTAAGTATTTATAGTATTCAGATACGTAGTTATTTATGCGGATACTTGCAGATACCTGCTAGATTATCCTTTTAAAAATTCACGGATATGGTTGCTATCTGTGAGAAAATTATGACATCCGGATATGCAGTTAATAGTGCGAATATCTGTAAATGCGGTTAACGGTTCCGACCTCTAGTAGAGGAAATGATAGTCGAAAAAATGAATGGCTGTCATTTTTATTTTCGGGTAGTACAAGGACGGGTATGCACCTGCACATAAACAAAAAAATCAAATATTTTCTAAATTATTGCATCAATAAGAAAGTGAGTACGTAATGCTTTATTAAAGTTATTAATATATATATGTTACCTAAACTCTACAGAGATTATGGTTTTTAAATTTCATGCCCGGTGCAGGTCTATAGAGTTAATGCAACAGACAGTCAAGTAGCACATTGAAACAAGCTATTTCTTAAATTATCAGTTTTAATAAATATTTATATACACACTTTATTGATGTTAGCAGTTTAGGAAACTGGTTACATGGATTGTCAATAAATACATATTTATTTATTATGAATTCGTAGTAAATTTTTTCCGTGAATAAAATTGCCCAATCAAGAAACTTTTGAAAAAAGTTTTATAAGACAAGAAACATCTTCAGAAAAATTCGATAGTTCATTGAGCAATATAGCTAAAATCACCAATAACCCAAATCAATTGTATTCAAATTAAGATGATACATCACGAGACTACCTTGAAGATGTTAAAGAATTATATGACTTATGTATAGTAGAAAGTAATAAAGATAATGATATTGAGTCAGTTATGGATGTATTTTTAAATGATAAAAAAGAACCTGATGACATAATTAAGTTTTGTTCGGAAAATCATACCGATCCTATAATTCAATTAGTCCTGGCGCACTGTTATCGCTTTGGTAAAAGGGTTGAAAAGGATAAACAGAAGGCATGTGAATATTATCTAAAATCTGCCAAGATGGGGAATGCTAGTGGAATGTACAGCCTTGAATATTGTTATCACAAAGAAATCAGAGTTTAAGTTGATGTATAAAAAGCATTCGAATATTTTCAAAAATCTGCCGAGTTAGACGATGCTCTAGGGACAAATATGGTTGAACTTTATTATGAATGTGGAATTGGAGTTGTAAAGGATGAACAGAAGGCATTCGAATATTATAAAAAATCTGCTGATATGGAGAATGCTAGTGGAACCTATAGTATTGGTTATTGTTATGAAGAAGGAATTAGAGTTGAAAAGGATGAGCAAAAAGCATTCGAATATTATAAAAAAACTGCAGATAAAAGAAGTGCTTTAGGAACAAAT